GGAAGAATTAATATGCACATTTGAGTGTACATATTGCAACTATATATTAAGCCTTCAAGATTCTTGCCAGGAATTATACTTAGATCTTGATGCTCATCATTTATTTAGAAAAAGCAAGTTTTTGTTAATCAGCGGAGACAAATATAGTCCCAGCGGATATCGCATAATATTTTACGGCTAGATACCATTGACGCCGATAAATATCTTTGGAGAAAAGGTATAGGTATCGAGTGCGCCAAACCATTAATGATGAACAGTTGGAGCAACGTAGCAGTAAGAAACACAGAATATTTGCTTCATTATGTTTGGCTTGATCGTTGTTTGGTTGAGCTAGTTATTTTAGTGTAGTATTTAACCACTGATTGTGATCATATACCATGTGAGGTTAAGTTTGAACAATGACTATGAAGCTCAATAAGAACCCAAAATAACTAAAAGTTTCAATATGTAACGCAGGCCTAGAGACATTGAAAATAGTTGCATCCTATTTAATTTAGAAACATGCCAACAATATAAATCACCGCTGAATCTACCAATATTGTTTATGAGTTAGAGATATAATGTTTGGATCCTGTCACAATATTTGCAAATTTAGTAACATGGATATATAATTATCAACAACTTGTTATTAAAGTACTTGATATATTGCATTGTTATTAATATTTGGATATGGGATTTCTGATTGCTGGTTGAACCAAAATCAATTACTTGGGCACTGGGTCTTACCTTCTTCTTTCAGTTTTATTTCGTAAACAATGCTCTAAAAAATGCTTTTATATAAACTTATAGATTTATTCGTAAACAATGCACAGTGCTAAGTAGGTTTTAATGACTTGGGCACATGAGCCATGATATCTTTGAAAATGGACTAATTTGGCTCCGAGATCGTGAGGGGCTTATTCGGCTCCGAAATGGGCCTTTGTCCTAGTTTTTTTCAATTGAGCTGCCTAATTAGACCTTGTTAATTAATAGATAGTATTGCATTAAGAATATTCTGAGATCAAGCTATAACAATATTATATTTATAACATTTTTATTTTGTAGATTTATTATAAACAAAAACGACATAAAACTACCTTCGTTCAGTTCATCGATCATAACTTTTTCTGATCTATCAAATAATTAATTTTCTTTGGTATTTTTACATAGACTACGTACACCGTATAATTGGCTGGTCCCAAAGAAATTTATAGTGTTTTTTTTCCGTAAGTCAAGTTTTCAAAAAAAAAAAACGACACTTCTCTTTTCAAACTTGAACTTTAACGTTTCACACATTTCAGCGTTAAACAATTACAAGTCTTCCAAAAAGAGAATTCAAGCATTTCTTATATACTCATGTACACTTCTATTCGATTCTTATTTTATTTTTTTTGTTTAATAAAAGTTATCGAAACTCACATATTTTTTAACAGTTTGTTGGTCCTCAAAAATATCACAAAATTTGGAATACCTATAAAATGAATCAAATTTCCTAAATTTATCAGTAGTAAGAAAAAATAAAACCTATTAGCTGAACTGTTCATATTTTGTTTTATGCCATTTTAAACCATTAAAATTTTTTGAACGATTATTATTAGCTGAATTGTTGACTCTCGGTAACTTTTCTATTTTTAGATAAAGGAGGCCTAGTCATCAACACGAAACAAAACGTGTCACTGACCAATAACCATGTAATTAGCTGAAAAAAGTATTCATGTAGTTTTAGATTCCAAAAAAAAAAAAAAAAATTGTAGTTCGTTCTAACTTCTAGCCCAATACAGTTCATCGATGAAAACCATTTTGACGTCGGTTGAGGTATCTAAATCGTTCTATAAGTGTTTCATGTAAAGTATTTAAAAAAAATAAAAAGGTCCTATATAGCTAGGATTGAAAGATCCAATCTATTTCTAATATAGTAGATAAGTCAAATTAAATAAGTTACTGTTGTAAATATGTTAAACAATATATATCATGTGAGGTTAAGTTTGAACTATGATGATCAAAATATTATTTCGACTCTGAATGAAGTAAGTTATGTTGATGAGTGAGGACAAGATGTTGAATAGTGTAAAGAACATCAGGTTTGAAGAAAAATTGATACACGCAACAAAGTAAAATGGTAACAAGAAGTTGTTTTATACTAATAAATTATATATATGAAAGGAGGCTATCTCTCTCCATCCTTCCGCCACGTCAGCATTTTTGGCTCTTCTGAAGATGACACATCAGCTTTTTATTCGTCCAATAAAAACTTTTCATTAATACACATCAGCTTCTAATTATAAGTGTCAAATGGAGTAAACAAATAGCCCATGACGGATGGGCCATATGTGTTTTAGAATCTATTAGAGTGGAATATTAATGGGTCGAGCCCATTTCAGTGATGGCTTAATGCTTTTAAACCCAACAAATATTCTAATTCCCCACAAGATTTTAACAAAATAAATCTCTCTCACTCTCTGCTCGATCGTTCAATATGAAAGAAGAAGAATCTCAAGGCAAATTTCTCGACTTCGTAAATTCCATTCTTCATAGTCTCCCTTTCTGTACATCATATTTCTTTAGAACAAACGTTTTCTACCTTCTAACTGCCAGAATGGAGGCCACGATAGAAGTTACACAAAAACATATTCACACTCTCAGCTTACGGGATTACAAACTTTCACTACTATAAACTCTATAAATACTCAAACAGACATTGTTTATACCGGATTATATGTGTTTCAGACAACATCAATAAATATTTACCAAGGTGCAAGGAACATAAAAACGATACAGAACCACCATCAGATACAACTCAAGTTGAAAATATCGATATACACAACATTGAATAGCTACTCACCTGAATTATCACTGAGGCGGTGCTATTTGGAACAACTGTCAAAACACAAATACTCTGTAACGTCCTTTTGAGTATCGTTTTATACTCCCTTTCAACTTTTCCTATCAATATTCAAAGCAAAAGTAATTCAGATCTAAAAACAAGAATCACCTGTACGACATACTCAAGCAACAAAACAAGCCTTCTTCTGAACAACGAAACGCATTTACGATTACCAATCTATCCGGCTTAAGGCTTCCATATGACTTCAAAACAAGCCTTCTCAGCATTTTCGTTCTTCTTTGTTCCTGCTTTAGGTCTGTATTCTGCAGCTAGAAATTTTGTATCTCTTGAAAATATAAATGAGAGAGTTCAATGAATCCCATTCAAAAAGGATAAAAAAACTATGTACCTATAATAGATATTGATAAAGCTGATAAAGTACCTTCTGACCAACTAGCAGAGCCATGAGGACGATGAAGGATATTACGGGAACAGGCAAGAGGTCTCAACTGACAAATAAGTCTTTTTTTTGGGTTATATTTCAAATCAGAAAATAGATCTAATCTTAAAAATTGTAACTACATAAGATAGTAGTTTTATTAACTACATAATAACAAATAAAAAAATAAACATAAATTAGCAAGAACAATCAATAATTTTTTCTTCACAATTTTCAAAACAAATCCACGCGTAGCGTGGGTATTCATCTAGTAACGATAACAACAATAAAGTATAAATGTTACTAGTATTTTTTTCTGCTCTAATATTAATTGACCCCACTTACTTAGTTCCAAATATAGATATGAGTGTTAGCTAAGCTTTGAAGAAAAAACTATCACCCAGCAAAGTAAAAATTAATTGACGCACTTGCTTAGATCCAATTATAGAAATGATTCGGTGAGGTTTTGATCTCTATCAAGACCTTATTTTCAAACATTAAACACGCTAATTAAAACTACAATTGTTTTCTCAGTAGTACTAGAAGATACATAAATCATAGATTGAACCTAATCCACCCAAGAGTATCATTATCTCTTTAACAATAAAAACTTATCCCAATAGGTTACATATTTTCTATTTAGTAAGAAAATGATGTTACTACGTAAAATGTGTACCAATTAATATCTAATATAGATACTGAAAATTGTGTGATAACTGCTAAGATAAAAATCTGACTAATAAATACAGTGTTGGTGAACCATTTACAATAAAATAAGGAAACTACAAAAAAAAAAAAAAAAAAAAAAAAACTATACACAGTACTACGTACGAGGTTGAATAGTATGAGCCGCTTTTTTTTTTTCCGTTCTATCTATGCAATGCCTACGTAAGTTGCACACATGCATTCATTATTATTATCCCACACAACTTAGTAAAATGGTAGTGGGTGAAGTAACAAGATGTTGATATATATACTTGTAGTATTTTCAAAAAATTTATACCAATTTTTATAGGGCTGGAATCAACTTCCAAAATGTTTTGAATTTAGAATTTTTAAATAAATTATATTGTCTTTTAGCTTTGATTATAATTATTTTTTGTCTTCTAGATAAACCACCATTCTTAGCTTGTAGTTGATTACAGATCAACAGAGAGGGATATAATCAACATTTATGACCTTCATCTTAAGGAGCTTAAGGAAATTACACTACGCAAACATCCCAAAATATCTTTAATTGGTCGTATAGTAATATGCTAATTTACTTTCTTAAGTCATCCTATTAGCTGAGTCATTTTCAGTCATTTTTTTTCTTTTAAAGATTCCAATTAGCTGAACCGTTCATTCTTTGTAACTAGTAGTAAATTGTTAAATAAACGAAACCTCTTCATCAATATGAAACAAAACGTGTCACTGACCAATATCACGTTAAAGTTACCAAGATTATTTTTCATTTCTTCGTATTTTAGTCTAAATGAAAGTTCCCAAAAATATAACCAGAAAAATATTCTTCTAGTTTTAACTTCTAGCCTAATACAGTTCGTCGATCAAATACTAATTAGACATTGATAAAGCGAAGTTGCATGAGTGAAGATAGATAAAACCGTGCAAGTTAGCATCCACCCACAGATTTCACACCATTATAAATAAACCCTTCGCTAGTAGGGATCAAACCAACCAAGAGAGATCTAAGAAACAAAGAAAAACCAAGAGAGATATATACAAGAAAGAAAAAAACCAAGAGAGAAAAAAAAAAAAATGGCGACACTACTCGATCTTCCCGAAAACCTCAGGCAGATTGCTACCTTTAGTCAGAACGGAAACAACGAAGGCTTAACCCAAATGATGGGTAAATAGATCTCAAAGCTTTATTTTACTTCTTTAATTAGCCACAATTACATCTTCACTTTTCTTATTCTTTCTTTCGTTTTGTATCAGCGAATTTTAATGGGAATGTGAATGCCATATTGACTACGGAGGGTCACTCGGCTCTTCACCTTGCTGTTCTAGGTGGTCACGCCGGCTGTGTTACGGTTCTTCTCTCCCATGGATCGGACGCCAACGCGACAATGGACGGTGGAAATACGGTGAGACTATCGGTAATCAACTCTTTAATTGATTATGAGTCTTTAATCTACTCTCTTACATCTTTTTTTTTTCTTTTTACAGCCATTGCACTGCGCTGCTAGAGTCGGGAAAAGGACCATCGTGGACTCGTTGCTTGCTGCGGGTGCCTCACTGACGGCAAAAAACAGTTCGGAAAAGGTAATCTATATAAATAATAAAACACCTTTTTTTTTTCTTTTGTTTGTTTTTGATTAATTGTTTTCTCTCTAGACGGCGTCGATGATAGCGGAACCCGGAACTTCTCTCGGTCTAGACGGCGTCGATGATAGCGGAACCCGGAACTTCTCTCGGAGACAAGCTCGTTGAACTGACCACTCGTGCGTATAACGATAATGTTATAACCGAGTTGAAGACCAAGCTCAGCCCACCACCACCGAATCAGTAAACTCCACTACGACTACGTACAACGTCGGGTGTCAACAAATATCCTATTAACTATTACATATAAAATAAGGCCGGACGTTTTAATTTAGTATCTTTATCACTATGGATGGATTCCGACTGATGATCTATGTAAATAATTTTTTATAATTAATGAGAATCCGTATATTCTATTAATAGTTGATTTATTTTTCATTCTTATTATAATTAATTTCTAAAATAAGCACTTAGCTTGTGTTTAAGCATGAAGTTGAAGTTTTAGTTATTTTTAAGGATAAGAGGTTAAAGCGTATTAGAGAAGGTGCGACTTTAATTATGACATATATGTATGTAGTAATGTAAACCATCATTTTTTTTTTTGTGTGGATATAATTAAGGCATGCAATGTTTTAAAATTAAACCAAGCTATTGAATTGTATTTGGGTTAGCCTTAGTTCTTAAATATATTGATTACATACGAGACAAATTTAGGATGCTTATTTCTGTGACTTTATATATTTTGATATGAGATTGTTTTTTTATGCTTTTCGGATCATGTTACGTGGTGAAGGGATTTGGACTTACGAATATTGTAAGCACGTGTAGATCATCGCAAACAAAGTAGCCCATTTCTGATTCCTTATTGAATCAAAATTAATTACTGTTACATAATTAGTTAGCAGAAATTGCATTCATATCTCTTAACTACTAACTACACAATGTTATATTCTTCTTCTTTTTTTTTGTTGTTTTTTTTTTTTTTCAATACTACACAAAGTTATCTAAACCACCGTGTCTCTAAAAGTTTCTTGGTCCCTATAAATATCACATAATTTGGAATACATATATATAAAATGGGAATGAAATTTTTAATTTTATCAGTAATATAAATATATATATAAGAGTCAATAAGCAAACAAAATATGACAACTAAATCCTTTAATATGTAACGCAGGCTAGGAAATTAATCAGATGGTATTAAATTTATATCAATTTGGACATATAATCCGTAAAGGTTTGGATCCAATGTCAAGACTCTACTATTGATATTGAGCTGTAAAATTCAACACGGTACGAAAATGACATCTATACCTCAAGCACCCAACATTGATATACCTCAATTATGGAGATTGTTTGGTATTAATTGACGCTTAGATCAATTTTAGAGCTTTGGATCCAATTTCAGTTAAGACTTTATTTTTGTTATTAACAACTTAGATATTAACCACCCAATATTGATATACCTTAAGGAGGTTGTTCTATACTTGATTGTATTGGACCATCCATGAACTATTAGAAATATTTTTTGTCATCAAAAGTTTTACTGTTACAGGATTGGAACTTTAAAAAAATTTCATTTCTTAATTTGTTTTGTCATCAAAAGTTGCTGTATTTTTGTATAAAGAAAATTAAAGTTGCTGCTTTTTAGAATTATTTTGCTTTGAAACTCTTACTTATCTTTTATACGTTTTAGCATATTGTAGAGTACAAAAATTTTAAAATAAAGTTCGTGTAAATTATATATTATTTCAGGCATATGTGTCTCTATAGTAAGAAATGGGTTGCATTCTATCAGTAACAGTGCCAAAGTAAGTAATTCTTTTTTCATATCTCACAATTTGTATCAATATATTATGATATATAGTCTCAAGCTTTTTTGAAAATATGATTAAAACATATTTAAAATTATTTTGAGGCAACTTTTTAATCCTTATTATATGCTTAGAATATATATATAAGAGCACATGGCTCAATTTTCTAATGAGCCGGACCTAGGTGACATTTAAGTGTAGTAGGACCATCAAAATTATTTTGACTAATAAATTATTTATATAAATCATTGTATTTTTTTAATTTTAGACTAATAATCCAATCAATATCATTCTCGGCATTCCATAACTAATTTTTAAAATAAAGTAAATAGATTTTAAGATGAACACCTCAGATAACCTATACACCATAAAATTGTAGTATTATTAATTTGAGAATTGCTAACAAAATAAGTTAAATAAACTAATAAGGGACACATAGTTGATATAAAAAAAATTGGAACCGAACAACAATATTTTGGATACTCGAATGGAACCTATATAAAATTATATATCCAAAAATATTAGTTAATTTTATACCGAATAATTAAAATATCTAAATAATCAAAATTACCTGAATAATTGAACCAGAACCGAATAGATTCGAACTGTAACAACCAGAAAATACTAAAAATATCAAAAATACCCGTAAAAGTATTTAAAATTTTCAAAAATACCCGGTATACCCAAAAAGTTTGGATTTTTCAATTATTCGGGTAAAAAAACGGAACCAAAAAAATATTCGAAAAAATTTTGATTCCTATTTGGTTCTTGATTCAAAGAACCGATACACTGGACCGAACCGAACCTGGACCAAAATTTTAAAATAATCGACTAGATACTAAACTTCAAACCCAAAATACCTGAAATCTAAAGATACAAAACAGAATACCCAATCGCACTTGACTATTCGCTATTATCCATAGTGAAATCATATTATCAAAAAAATATTAAAAACTATTGTCCCATGTATAACATACGATAATACTCCGTATACAACTCTACATATAAGAAAAAAAACTCAAGAAAAAAAATGCTTATTTGAACAACAACAAATGCTTACATGATTTGACACGATTTACTTACCATACAAATACTGATTTCGTGTATCATCAGCTTCAGAGGTTCAATGGAGATGATACATCGTCCCCAGATTAGCTATACGAAGGAGAAAATAATATATTGGTTTAGCCTTAGTTCTTAAATATATTGATGGGCAATTGACAAAAATAGCACCAAAAAAAGTTTATCTTCTAAAATTAGCACAACATTTTTAAAATTCCACAAATAGCACCATAAACTTCAATTAAACTTAATTAAACTATAAGATAGAAAATAAAAATGAGAGCAAACACTAACCTAATATTAAATTGAATCAAAATTTCTTTTAAATAATGGAAATATATACCCTAAATTGGAAATAGGGAACCTAAATATAATACTATAATTAAAATGAATCAAAATCTCTTTTAAATGGTGGAAATATATATCCTAAATTATAAATAGAGAACCCAAATATAATATTTTAAATTTATTTCTAATTTATTTTGGTTGAATAGTTTTTATATAAAAATTAACTAATGATGATACTTTTTACAAAAACTTAATAGTAAGTCAACTAGTGCTATTTTTGGAAGTTTATAAAGAGGTCTATTATTGTCCATAAAATTTGTTTTAGTGTTATTTTGGGAAATTTCTCTTCCTTTAATTCATTAAAGATCAATTGATAAAAATTGGTTTTAGTACTCCACAATAAAACAGTAGAACCCGGTTTCCCAATAAAATCAATAACTTAGTTCATTGTTCATAAGTATGAATACATAATTTGATAGTATAAAGAGAATATTGTAACGAGTAAATTAAAAGTTGAGATCGATAGATAAAGAAAAATTACATAACATTTAAATTGTTTTACTAGAATATGACCCGTGGTATACCGCGGAATAAATAATTTTTATTTATTTATTTATAATTTGATTATGTGTGTTGTATAAATTTGATAAGATTTTTTTTGTTTATAGTCTTATGATTGATTGTAATTGGTTTATAATAAAGTTGAATTTTACTCCACGGTATACCGCATGTCGATATTTTTGTAACTAAAAAATTTAAATTTTAAGTTGAAATTATTTTGTTAATATTTTTTTATAGTGTGTTTAATATTGTATAAATGTATTTGATTGTTAGTTCTAGGATTTCATCCGTGGTATACCGTCCTGTATTAATATCAATCCAAACTTGTCCTACCATATAAGCCCAGTAAAACTAAACATCATTTTGTTATTTTACTTTTTAATAATATTTTATTTGAAAACATATATAGAGAGACTACATACCATGCAAAAATATTTGGCATCAGATCCTTACTATTTCATTGTCTCTTCGACGTCGTTGGTTGCCAATGTATAATACCTAAAATAATAATTAACTAAATAGTATTAAATGTATGCAGATTCATAAACACTAAAAGATCAACAATGAACATTTTATACTGTTACGATGAATCTCGTAGTATCAAAGTTTGAGGATTTCAAAGAACTTTATTTTTTTTAATATAAAACAGATGATGAGATATATAGATAAAAATGATGGTCTAGTTAAACTCTAGCATCATGACGTGAAATAAGATATTTCGAAAAGTTTGGTTAACCAATATATAGAGAGTGAAATGAGATATTGTCTCAAGTTGATTTTTAGGTTAACCCGTCCAATTATTTTTTAAAAAGTTTTGTGAAATAAATACAAATCTTGAGAGAATTATCATTCAAATCTAATATATATGATATCATATTTTTCTGTTTTGAGTATTGTTTCCATATATATCACTGATCTCATATTAAATGAAGATATTACTCCTTAAAATAAGATATTACTCGATTAGTTAGTTTTTAGTTTCAAATTTTGTTAATAATACTAAAAATATCAAACGGAAATTCAGTTACGAAAATCGGATTTGTAAGCATTTAGTTTTTGAATTTTAGATATACCCCAAAAAATCCAGGAAATTAGTCAACATTTAATATTATTTATACTAATTATAATTTGGCAAGAGAAAACGAAAGTATAATAATAAATATAGAAATTATGAATTTATGAAACTCGATTATATTAAAAATATTCGTATTGTTAGTTTACTTAATTAAAAGGCTACAATTTGCGAAATTTAAGAAAAGAGCAGATTGAAAACATTTCCGGTAAAAAGAAATCCGACCGAATAGATGAGCAAATATGTATTTCAAAAATGTTATGAAAAAAATGTAATAATATGGATATAAAAAAATATAAACTAAACCATACATAAAAAAATATATTAGAAAACGAAAAACATTACGCATGAATTACATTATATAAAAAATA